CTGTTAAAACTAAAATGATTCATACTGTTAGCATTTTTAATATAAAATGTTGTGCGCATGGTATTAATCTAGTATCAAAAATAGCATCATCTATATCATCGATTCCCATCGTGTTTTTGGAACTTGAACGGTACAACACTTAGAACAGTTTTCCAACTTGAGATTCTTTCCATGTATTGACTAAGTTTCAAATTGGTTGTTCCGTTTTGTATTGCTTCAACCACTCTGTTGTGGTTATCACCCTCGAATATTACTTCGCGATATCCAAGTGCCCAAACACATTATTGCATTGATCTCTTTATGAGCTTGTTTAGCAAAAAGTTGCTTTCTTATTCTCATCACTGATCAAGTGTGTTTGCAACCTAACAGTGAAATTAACAAAGAGCAGTACCAGTCATGTCCATGAAGCAGCACATACACAACTACAAATTCAACATGAAAACGTAAACTGCGTCGACAAGTAATCACAAGAAAAGCAAAATATAAAGGGTCCTCACAGATGCTTTCAAGTTAAGATGATTACAAGTGTGTCTTAAAGCATATCGAGAAAGCTTTTGTCCAATCTCCCATCCTTTAACATATTAAAGACCATGCTTATTGTCGAAGCATCTCCACAGAATCYGAAACYCCTCATTTCTTTGATGAGTTTAACCGATGCTGCTTTGTCACCACCTCTAAGTCGTGCCCTAATCAGCGTATTATAGGTACCGCTGTCTGGGAGAGGCCCATCTTCTTTCATTTTTCTAAACAAGTCGTTCGCTTCTTCCATCAAGCCTTTCCTGCATATTCCTGAGATCATTGTATTGTATGTTACAACATCAGGCATCACTCCTTTGAGGCTGAGGCTACGAAATAAATCCCACCCATCTTCAACCTTCCCAGCCTTACACATCCCATCGATCATAGTATTATATGTGACAATATTAAGTTCAATTCCACTCTTTTGCAAATCCTGGAATACCACCAATGCTTTCTCTAGCTTCCCGTTATTGCAAAGACCATCYAACAAAATGTTGTATGTCMTRATATTGGGAGGCACACCATCAGAAACCATTTGTTTGAAAACTTGTTGGGCATTCTCACAATCTCCAACTTGAAAAAACCCTTGGATTAGAGTGGTGTAAGTGATTGTATTGCCAACAAATCCTCGTTGAGACATCTCACGAAAGAGTTTCATGGCATCCTCTACTTTCTTAGAATTGCAAAATCCATTGATAAGAGTACTATATGTCACTACGTTTGGGCAACAACCTTTTCTAACCATCAAATCAAACATATCCTTGGCCTCATCAAGGCGGTCAAGCATGCAAAACCCATTTATAAGAGAATTGTAAGTGAAAATATCAGGATCTACAGACCTGCGGATCATCTCCTCGTACAAACTTTCAGCCTCCAAAAGCTTTCCCTCTTTCGCAAATGCATCGATCAATGCATTGAACGTAACTACATTGGGGTTGATCTTCCTCTCAATCATATCGCTTAGTAGTCGAGCTGATTYAGCCCATCTTCCATATTTACAAAGGCAACTTATGAGGGAATTGTAGGTGAAAACATCCGGTYTAACTCCTTTGTTCTCCATTTCGTTGAATAGGTCAAGTGCAATCTCTACATTCTTGTATTTGCAAAGACCATCAATTATTGTGTTGTAGATCACAGCATCAGCCACAATTTGCCTTTCATCCATCTTCTTGAGCAGATTCAAAGCCAAATCAGTATCACCTCTCTTACATATTCCRTTTATTACCACACCATAMGTAACTAAACTCGGTTGACAGCCTTTCACGACCATYYGWTCAACYARAGCCACCGCTTCTGAAGCTTTGTTGTTGAGAAAAAGTCCATGGATCAGAGTGTTGAATGTGACGGTATTAGGTKTACATCCCAGTTCAACCATTTGATCAACCAGAGATACTGCATCCGAAATCCTATTCCCATGGCAATATCCATTGAGAAGCGAAGAAAGCGTGACWATATCRGGMTCATAGCCGAGTTTCATCATCTTCCCAAGAAGAGCTAAAGCAAGAGAGAGTTGAGAGCGGCGACAGAAACAGTTGATCAAAATACTAAAAGTATAGAGATTATGTGAAATTCCCATCATTTTCATCTTCTCGCCCAGAGAGATGACAACATCATACTTCTTCATCTTCGCAATTGCACTCAACAGTTTATTAAAATCAATAATGGAAGGCAAAGGACGACACTTTACCATTTCACTGAACAGACCCATAGCATCATCTAACTTAATATCATGAAGAAACCCATCTCTAATCTTCTCTCTGTAACCAGAAAAAGCTCGTACCCAGCAACAAATGGAAGACGAGGGAGAAGCAGTTCCAGGATTACCTTTAACCAGAAGATTCCGGTGAACAAATCTCTTCGCAGTCAAAAATCTCATCTTCACGATTCCGCTTCAGGTGATTGGGTTCCTTCTCGATCTCTCTGTAAATTTGGATTAGCCCTAAAATGAAGAGTGTGCGTAGCTCTCACTCTCACAATTCGTGAGAACTGAGAAAGAGAGAGAGGGAACAAGGAAGAAAGATGGACTGCCGTTAGATCATTTTTGGTATTTGACGGTCATGATTTCAATTTTATCAATTCCAATGACCGGATTACTCTCATGAGTCCTC